CGATTATGCTCAGTTTCTGAAGAACAGGAAAGCTTCGGATCCTAGATTAGCTGAAGAAAACGCCGGTAATGGCGGAGATGATGAAGCTAGTAAGGAGATTTGGAGTAATGGTGAAGACATTGCACTGCTCAATGCTTTGAAAGCTTTTCCTAAAGAAGCAGCTATGAGATGGGAGAAGATTTCAGCTGCAGTACCTGGGAAGTCGAAGGCAGCTTGTATGAAGAGAGTTACAGAGCTTAAAAAAGGGTTTCGGAGCTCGAAATCTGGAACCAATTAGCTAGGGAGCATCCAATGAGGTAACTTAATAAAACAAAGCAAGCTTTACTCTTTCAAAAGGTAGTGGAAGATTTACTATGTTCCATTGTAGTTGCTACATTTCTGCTGCATAGTCTTTGTAGGCTTGGTGATCTCTTTCATTAGTGAGTTATGTGGAAGATGATAATCACTAATTTGGATTGATCGAGTTGATAACCTAAGGAGTTACTCATCATTAGGTTGTCTAACATTATTAAGTAAAAAATGTACTGGTCTGGAATTGAGAAGAAGTCTTTTGAGAACAAAGAGAAGAAGCTTGTCATGCGAGGAATCATAGAAACGTTAGTAAACGTCCTGAGTCGTGTTCTTGATGTTGGGGTGGGCTTGCTTTTTGATTGGTTATATGATTGATGGTTGGTAAAAGTGTGCTAAGACATTTTTTCCATGTTTCACATACATCATGTCAAACCTCATTGCTTTTCATCAAACCTGTGCTATTGCCTGCGGTTTCTTGGCTTTCCTTTACATCTGCTAGTTTCCGGTCAAATTAGAGTATGGAATGTAATGCTTTGAAGTAGGAACAGAATCATGCAAAAAAGGCATATTCTAATGGATTTGGCTAAGGAAAAAATGACAAGGAATTAGTAGATAGTTGTTTTCGGTTTATGATGTCTATCCCTAGTAGAATATAATTGGTAGAGTTTTATCCTTAGGCTGAATGATCGGTTCACTTCACAAACTACTATTAAATCTCTAAGAATATTTTAGTAGAATCTCGGAATCCTCAGTCACTTTAAGATTTTCGATCTGTAGGGGCAGAAAGAAACATGCCTGCATTTCATGATTTTGTATCTTATTTTAGTACAGTCCTTTGTGATGTGCAGAAGAAGCACAAGCCTGATAAGTATGTGATCAAATGGTAACGCATGTAGACAAAACAATTTGTCACAAAGTTTCTGAATTTGAATCTATTAGTGACATGTACCGCGTAATGCAGGGAAATCTGGTTGGATCACACGGCAAATATCAGGAGAGGAAGAACAGTTTTGTTGTTGCTGCTTGAGTTTATAAACTAGAAGACCAAGAAGTAATCTCAGGAAGTTTCTAGTGACAGACAACAAAGCATATCAATATGCCAAAGAAACTAACATAGATTTATTTCTTCTTTACTTCAAGCTTCAGTTCGAATTACAAGTCTTGGGGCATATGTGCACCTTTTTACTAGGGAAATATTAAAAATACTATAAATATTCTTAATCCAAACTAGCATTCTCATATCTCATTTAAAAGAAGTAACTATGTTGACTATTATATAAATATAGGTTATTCGATTTGACAAATTACTGAAGTTTAAATAGTCTGTTGCAGTTTATAGGTTGTGAATTGTTACTTGTTAGGTTTCTGTTATGGACAGTACGTAATCATTTGTAGAAATGATACGATAAGAAAAAATAAAAAGGGAAATTGG